ATTTTCAAGTGCTATTGGTCAGATTTTTGGCAGGAGAGTGATTATAGATGTGGGCAGAACAGCAGTTTCCATCATTATCATGTGGCCTGCCTATAAACAGATTTTTGCATAACAAAAAAGACACCAGTCTACAGCCTAATGAATGCACTCATTAACTGTAATAATGTTAGCTATGGCTTGAAAGGGACTTCAGAGAAAAAGAAATCAGCTCAACTGATTCCAAGACCCTGCTGCATTTTCAACATAGAAAAGTAAGTGGAAGAGTTCGCAAAAGGGAATCTATTTTTGTTGTACACCTGTGTCTCTTAGTATTTTGTCTAATCTTAGAAATAGAGGTTTAGAATGTGTGCTGAATTTTCCAGGTGATTTTCATAGGAATCCTAAAGCTATGCTTGCCAGCTCACTGGTACTAACTCACAACATTTTACTGATCATAATTTGTCCAGAGCCAAGAGCTGAAAACTTTCTTTCAGTCTAGTGAATCACATGAGACATCTCTGCAGCTTTATATGCTCTAAAGAACTGCCGTAAAAAGACAAGGCACAAGGTAGCATGGGGAGGAGTCTCTGCAGGAACATCACCTCCAGCTGGTGTCCTGGATGTCCACCAGATTGCAGATGTAGCGGGCTAAGCATTAGACCTCTCCCTGCTGCCTTCTCCCACCTTGGACTGGCAGCAACTGCACCATCCTAGTTAGTTAGTTAGTTCCCAAAAAGTCTTTATATCTTGATAATATATTCCTAATAATACCTGATAGATCTTGATAGTATATACCTGATACCTTGATAGCTTACCAATGACAACCTTTTTTTTTTAAAGTGAGCGGCTTTAAAAAAAAGAAAGAAAAATATCTCCAATAGTCAAAAAAAATCATATTTGCAACTCACTGTTGCTTAATTTATTAGTACAATGAAACTAAAAGGAGTTGATTGTCAAATAGTCACAAAATAGTGAAAAGGGTTGCAGTAGTTTCATGGACTGTCAATTTGCACAGTGTACCTCTTTGTTCTGCCCCCTTGTATTATCCAGCATATGCTCTTGCTAAATTTTAAAGCAGACCATAGTTAATGGTCTTCAAATCAAAGGTTGTATATTGTTTTCCATAATTCTATTCCCAGAACAGCAAAGTTCCAGCTCTGCCAAGGTGCTGCATGGAATGAAACAAAACCACAACAGGCATTAGCATTGCTCAGGAGTACTTAAATCTGAAGTTGTCCTTGAAGAATATTGTGGTACTGAATGGAAAAATAGTCAATTATAATATTTATTTAATCTCTTTATCAGCATTGGATTTTCCAGTTTGAAACTTTTTGGTCCAGCTGTCCCTAAAAAGTGGCAGAATTTCCCCACTTCCTTGAAAGGCTTCTCAAGAATCTGAAAGCTTTCACTGAAATCAATATTATAAACCCTATTACAGATTTAAGAAATGGCTTAAACAAGTATAAAAGACTTGTAATATATAAAAATTAAATCTGTGTCTATTTAGTGTGTAGGCATGTCAGTTTGGGCAAATCATTTTGTAGTTGTTCAAATATCGTTGACTCATTGGTTTTGGAGTTTCATTTCCCATGACAAAGGTCATTTGGGCTATGGAAGTCACAATTCTTAGATATAGGGCCAATATTACAGAATTGGTGCCATGGATATTCAAAACTGAGAAAGTGGCCTTAAACTGCCAGACCTGTGTTTACTTCAGACTGTAAAACCAAATGTCTAAATTAGGGAATGTAGAATTTCTTTTTTGTTTTTAAACCTCAAAGGATTATCTTAATTATACTGAGACAGTGTTATTTGGGGATTAGATGTAAAACCTTCCTTTCACTCAACAAAAGAGAGATAAAACAGTTTCATTTTCATTAAGAGTTATTTTAACCCAGTGTACACTCCTGCCTACCCTGACTGCATCATTGGAATTAGCTGTGTGTATAGCTTAACACATCATTCAGCCTAAATAAATTTCTCTTCCTTGTTGCTTCCCGTAGCAACTACAGAGAGAGAAAAAATACAATAATGAAAAAAAATAACTAAGGCAAAACACTACAAGAAGCTGGGGGAGCTGTGATGGAGAGTTATTGTTTTAAATTTCTCTGAATTTTTTGTCTAACCTGCTGGGTTTTACAGAATCATCATTCCCAGACATATGTCAAATCTCAACAACTACTAATGCATAGTGGATGTCAAGAAGTCAGATAGCCTACTGCCATCCCTTCACCAAGGCAGGGACATTTATATCAGATGGATGCTTGCCTGTCTTGCTCTCTGACACCCCTAAGAGTCTTCACTTCAAGCTATTCTAGTTCCTCATTCTCTTTGCTGTGAGGAAAATTTCCTGGTATCTGAGTCATTCTCTTTTCAGTTTAAGTCCTGGATGCTTATCTCGATGTGATAAACAACTTGTGATCTTTTAGCTGATGCTTTTGATGCACCTGAAGACAAATAGCACGTCTTCCCTAGTATTGTGTTTGGTTCTTTAGGCTATAAATCTTCAGCTAATTCAATCAAGCCTGTTTTCTAGATCATCTCACTTTTTGGTTCACCCTTCACCTCTGAAACAAACAACTAGATTTTTAAATAGTCATTCTACCCTGTAGAACACTCCACTTTCACCAATTTTGGAATAGTAGTTTAACATTTGCTTTTCCACATTGTCCATCTGAGGCTTTGTTATCTTTACATTGTTGTCTGTACAATATGTACTTCGAGTAGCTTTTATAGAATATTCCTAAACACCTTTTGTTCAAGAAACTAAGCTGAAATACTTATTTGAATGAGAAGCAGCTCTGTTGAATTAAGAAGCTCTCCTGCAGAAAAGTTGAGAAGGAGGGTTATGTAATTGTCATTAAAAAGTTGCCATTTCCATCTTTTTTAATAATTTAAAGGTATAAACTGTTATCTCTGTTGCAAATCTTAGACGGATAGCTAATCATAAAGTAATTCTGTAAATTTTATAGCACCCTCCTGGATTAGATCTACAAACCTACTCCTTTGAAAATTATAAAAAAATTAATTACAAGAAAAAAGACTTTTTTCTGGGGTTTTTTGGGTTTTGTTTTGTTTGTATGAGACAACTCATAAGGCTCCGATACTGACAGCATGGCTTTAATTCTTTCAAATTCTACCCAGTTTAAGAAAAAAAATCCCTACTACAAAGCCTATTACCTCCTGCATTAAAAACTTGTCAGGTTTCATGAGGGTGGATAAAACTGCTTTAAAAGCTTGCCAAAGAACAAGATGAATCTTTTAAAGGAAAGGTTAAACCAGTCATAAATTTAAAACACCTTCTGTGGCTTTTATCACAAAACAACCCCTAGTGGGTTTTAACTCTGTCCAGTAAACATTCCTGGTGGAAGTGGGGGCTGTTTGTCTTACTGAGCCTCTTGAGTGCAGTTGGGAACATTAACACCTATGTTAATCCCTAAACTGGAAGGTAAATTTTCCAAGTGTTATACTCAAGCTATACAGCAATGCTCATCTTTCTCCTTTTGTGAATGCATATTTTACTCTTCTGTGCTGAGTAAATCAGTGCATTTGAAATCTGAAGCATGTTTAATGGTTCTTTCATTTTGATTCCAGACACTGGATATTTTTTCCCCCTGGTGAAGCTGCTACTTGCTGACATTGCAGCTGTGCTAGGAAGACATAGCCAAGAGTCCAGGCTCTGCTGAAAGAGTGTCTTGTGCAGAAGTCACTCTCTGAGGGTGTGTTTGCTCTGTGTGGACAGCTGAATGCACAGCTTAAGGAATGCACTGGGGGCCAGGTGCCTGCAGCAGGATTCCTGCCTGCTCTGCAGTACAGAAGAAAAGTTTAAGACGGGCAGCGAATGATCAAAAGAGAACAGATCCACACACATAAAGGTCACCTACATCACTTAAAGTATGACTAACTTACAGAAGGGCCAGCTTTAAACAAATCATGAAGATTTAAAATAAGACAAGTTGAGCTTATTTTTCATCCTTCAATTACACAACTTTTAGAATTTAAAGGTACTCTCTATAGTGAACATCAGGGACTTCTTAGAGGAGGGACAAATGCTAATCTTAGGTTCTTCTCCAAGTCTCTGAGCTTTGAAAAACTGAAATATCATGTTCATGAGAAAAGAGAAGAAATCTGAAATTGTTCTAATGAGATATGTACATTTTTAGGATTGAGTGAAACTTCATAAATGGCAGTACTTCCAGAAGAATCCATTGTGAAATGGGGAGAGGGCAATTACCCTGAATGTTTGTGACATTTTGTTTGAGTGGGGTTTTCAGTTGCTTCTGTCTCCTTGTGGTTTGTGTATTGCAAGATGAAAGGTTACCAGAAGGGGATTAAAATTCTGTGTGCAGTGCAGTATCACACAACTCCATAAAGCTCCAGCCACAAGCAACACAGAAAGAGGAGCAACACCTGGATCTGCATAATGCTCTGCCCAGCTTCATTAGCCATGTCTGCAGAGAGAATTAATTGTTTCAGATGCAATGTCATGTTGTCTCTGTGCTGGTGTTTCTGCTGGAGCAGTGCCAGCCCATTCGAGACTTGCTTCTGGCTCCTTGTGCTGTGCTCCATCAAGAAGTAGGGACATGGTCTCCAGTACAGTCCTGCCCTTTGCACAGTGAGAGGTTCTGTCCTCAAAGTCACATCCTCCCAGGTAAGAGTAGTATCAACCCAATGTCAGGGAAATGCTGAACCCAAGGTTTTCTCCCCTCAGTGAGGTTAATTGATGCAGAGATACATTTGTACACAGCAGATTCCAGGATATGTGACTTTTAACATTGTTTCAATTACCCTACGTGTAGGATTTGGAATAGATAATTTAAGCAGAAGGTGCTGACGTCAAGCAAATGTAAGTAAAACACTGAATTCCTCCTCTGGAAGAATTACAGGTGCTTTACAAGACTCCACTCAGAACCACAACTGCTAGTGTGTGTGCTTTTAGGCTCTGATGTTCAATGCTAAGGAAGCTCTTTCCTTATTCCTTTGGATGGCCAATGTGGTGTCCCTCTCCTTTACCCCTGCAGTGACGGCTGGGCAGACAGGTACGACGTGACAGAAGGGTACCAGAACGAAGCTGTCGGTGGGATAACAATCAAGCTGCAGTCCCCAGACGTGAAATGGTTTGATGATTACTACCTACAGCTCCGGCCAGAAACCAACCATCGGAACCCGTGGTTTCAGGAGTTTTGGCAGCACAGGTTCCAGTGCCGGTTGGAAGGGTTTCCCCAAGAGAACCCTAAATACAACAAGACCTGCACAAGTAAGTGAATTTACTAATTCTGCTGAGTGAAGCAATGTGAGTGAAGGTCTGGTCTGATGCAGCATGGTCTGGTGAAACAGTGAGTTGGATTGGAAGGAAAAGAAGCTGCAATTGCAATGCTTGTGGTTTTCAAAGTTATACAAAGCACAATTTAAAATGTTCAGGTTTCTAAAGAAATAGATTGAGCTTCAGCACCTAACTGGTCTCTTCATTTGAAAAACTTGATGCTACTCCACCTCCATAGGCATGTAAACACTTTCAAAAATGCTGCAGCACAAAGCAGCACCTTTTCAGAGGTGCAAACGTACAGAGGTGCAAAAGGTACAAAATGTACATTTTCAGAAAAAGAAGCTGATCATATTGCTTTGGCTCACAAAAGCAATGAGAGAGCTGATATATTAAAAGTTATCTGAAGCCCTTATGGCAGTGATGATTATTTATGAACTTCAGAAAAAAGGTGATTTGAAATGTGTCATTAGGTTTTCTTTCAGCCATGGGTCATTTCAGGATATGCCATTTTGAGCTGATTATTTTCATTCAATTGTACTAATTTAGCAAAAACTCCCTCATATTGTCATTTCTGCACTATAGAGAGATGTGGTACATTTTTCTGGGATTTTGTAGGTTTTTTTTTTATTATTATTACTTCCGTTAATTGCTCTTTATTTCATGAGATGCCAAGCAGTACTAATGTTGTCTAGGCTGTGAACTGGCACCCATGTCTTGCATTCCAAAGAGTATAGGGACCTGTGGCACCAGTCAAATGGCAAGAGACACGGCAGGAACCAAAAACTCAGTGCCTCAGCAGGAAGACTCCAGACTACCTGGAAATGATCCTTTGTTTGGGCTCAGAGTCCTTCCTTTGAGGCTAGGAGGACTGTTTCACAAGCCCCTTCTCCTTCTCTGTAACTTTCTAGGCAAATTTTTTAACTATTTCTGACACTTGAGAAGTCACTAATACCATTGTGTTAGTATTCTGGTATTGTGGCAGTGTTGGGGATAATGTGGCGCTGTGCTGGGCATTAGTCCAACCACTGCTCTAAACCCCAAGGGTTCTTCCCTTGTAAAAATGTGAATACCTTTCACACACCCATGAGACCAAGAAATATCTTAAAGGATCAGAGCCTTGAATTTATACAACACAAACTCCTACCCAAATCTCACTTAATGATCTTAAAGTCTTTCTTTTGATTTGGACAAGGTCTCAGAGGAAGTTTGTGAGAGAGATGTAAATTGAATGTAGGAATCCCAAAATCTCAGTGTACACCTTATGCACTCTACTCACCTTTCCTCATTATTTTTGTTCTGTTACCCTTCCAACACAGTTTGAGACAGGTTTTATTTGCACTCTTGACAGTTACTGCATATTGAGCAGCAAACTTCATTGATTTCCCCATGATAATATAGACCTGTTTCCTGAGATGTCAATGCAGCGGGCATAGCTGGATGCAGGTGTGCCATGTAAAAAAACATTTCAATTTGACTTTTTTTGGCTTCTTTTTTAACTTACCTTTTACCAACAATGTGAGAATCTAATTTATGTTTTATGTGAAAGATTGGGAACTATGAAATGTAAGTGCTGAAAGAGTCTTTTATAGCACCTAAAATAAAATTCACCACCACAGAAAAATTATCATGGGGGTGCAGGGAGATATTATTTTATACATGAATTCACCAGTCATGGATAAAAGACAATCATTAAGCATGAATTTTTTGGTGTGAATAGCACTCATGGCTGGAAGCTTTCCCACAAAGAACCACAGCTCAAATAGGCTCCTAAAACCTAGGAATGTCAAAGACACAAAAAAGATGCAAAAATCCAAATCTTCTGATTTGCAAATCATGAATAGAAAAGAAAGTTTTTCTCCAAATAAATAGCTCTAATTTCCTTTTCTTCTCTTTTATTTTAATAAAACATGGCATGGGCTGGACCATGATGCATACAGGAAAATAATTAAAACCAGATTATAAAAGCTTTAATTCTCTCTTGTTGCTGTAGGGCAAAAACATTAATTGCAGTTGCAGAATTTCCTGTGGATTAACCAGCAAGAAAGACATAAATGTATTCACTGAGAATTGCAAGAGTGAGACATCTGATGTTGCGACTTAAAGGTCAAAATTACTGTGCATATTTGAAATTGGCATGGTAGTTGTTGTTTCTACCTCATTTCCTATCACCCATACGAATTTGAAAATTATGTCTTTTCAATTCCTATATTGCTATTTATTTATTTTGAAGACTCAAATTGTGAGTCCTAAATTCCCTCAGACCAGACTTCACAATTATAAAGATGATACTTGCCGTCAGTGGTCATAAATGTTTCACAGACTGTCCTAAGAGTTTCTGCATGACGAGGATTTAGTTTTGGTTCTGATTTCACCAGGTAAGAATACAGGACTATGTCCTTTATTTTATTTGACTAAATATATGGTATTGTCCAGAAGCTGAATTTAAAAAAAAATTGAAAACCCCAAACACGCTAAAAAATAAAGCTACAGGTGTTTCTTACGATTATAAATAATGAGATTAAGTTCATTGAGAAATGCTGGAGAGAAATCAAAACCTATTTTCTACATCAAAAGTCAAGCAAGTCTTTACTTCTTGGAATAAAGATAAAAAGATAAGTTTAGAGCTGATGTTAATAGACAAAGTCATTATTAAATGAATATGTCTATATAAAAGGCAGTAACCATTATATTAGTGGGAAACAAAATTAATTGTTCTCTGTAATCCAGTTGTGTTGTCACAAAAACATAAAGAATGGTTAACAGTATAGTCAAGTTTATTCAATAAGAAAATAAACACTGGAAGATATGGCTGAAATCTAAGTAATAACTCACTTCACCTATGTACCAGATATGAATTTAGCTGTTAAAATCTCTTCATTTGCTTTGATGAATCCTGCCTAGTAGAATATTAGGTTACATTTAACCCTGTGGCAGAAAATACATTAATCATAAACAATTGTAACCATCTCCAGTGACTTGCGAGTATTTTCTCACTTTTTAACATAAACTATTCATAGACATTTTCAGGGAAGGTATTAGTATTAATAATACATGATTCAGTATGATATGTATAATCAAATTATGAAATTATCTGAACAAAGAGAATCCAAAAAACAATAAAGGGGTTTTTTCCATTCATTTCTATTAAGGACTAAAAAGTTTCCATTCCTACACGTAGACTTAGTTCATACCGAGATGAAAATTTCAGCATCCAGCTCATTTTTCATTTGCAGATTAGAACATACTTGCCTAATCCAAATGTGTGTCACTGCTGTTGCTGCTAAGAACATTGATTTTCTGCCCAGCTGGAGCACTACAGAAAGTGAGAAGTTCACAGACTTATCTGACTTGATTTTCAGTGTAATCAGTTCCATTACACAGGAAAGTTGCTACAAGCCACTCTGAAGAACAAGAGTCAGAACAAAGAATTTAAAATGCATGTGTAAAAGGAGACATTTAATGGCCTCCAAACACTAGGGATTTTAGAAGATTTGGGGTTGGTTTCACCTCTGGCACCAGTCAGAGATTTTTTTAATATCTAAGACCATAATTCAAAGAAGTTAATAAATAGTTGTGATCCAGATGAGTAACTCACTCCACACAGTGGCCAGGTTCAGGTCTCAAAAGGCTAATCTAATCCCTTGGTATTGATTGCCTTTAGACCTTTGAAGATGAGACGTTTATGCGATTGCTTTCTTTTGGACAGAATTCCTAGTACCTTTTCATCCTGGTGAGGGTGTTTTAAAAAATGCATCTTAACATCAAGCAGAAACAAAACCCAACATAATTATGTGGTGAAACTCTGGCTCAATAGACAGTACTGGAAAAAGGCAAGTCCTCAAAGACACCAGAAGCAGAAGCATATTTATTACATTTACCAATCTTTTAAATTCTTTATTTTGCCTGCACTGTTAAGTGATATTATTTTTCCCATGCTGTGCAAAAGCTGGAGGCATGGATGGAACAGCATTATTTATGGTGATACTCAAACACAGAGCAATACCAGAATACACACCCCAAGTATCTGTGATCTAAGTCATAGACAATAGAGAATAAATAAATAGAGGCTGATGCTGTTGAAGTATCTTACTCGGATTATCTGCAGTATCTTACTTTGATTGGCAGAGGCTACAGACTTAAGAAAAAAATAGCAGTTTCATGTAAATGAACAGTGAGAAAAGAATCTGGAGGAAGGTGATAGGTCACTCGTGCAGGTACTTACAGCGGGATCCTGACATTAAATACTTCAGTTCAAAGCAGTGAAGTAGAAAACAAAGGGAAACTATGGAGGCTGGGTCATCACAGACAAAGGTCAGCCACAAACAAGACATAGAGGGCACTGAAAGTGAGGAAAGCAGCTTATGTCTGCCATGGCTGGGAGCAAGGACCCAGAGACAGGGTTTATAGGGAAGAAGAGCACACAGTGATGTACAGGTGTCCTGGTTACAGCTCCCAGGAAAAGGAGATTGGCAGTGATTTGCAGAGCTTTCTGAGTGTATCATAGAAAGGTGCAAAAATCCCAAAATCCATTCATGAACTAACCATGTGTCTTCTCTGAGACAAAAGTGCTTTTTCTGAGGGTGTAAAATTTCTTATAAAAGAAGGATGCCCAATGTATCTCGGAGCAATTTAGAAGAGGATTAAGAATAAATTAGTTTATTTGCAGAAAGGGAGATTAGGGAAATTTGAGATAAAAATGAGAAAAGCTTTTCTGCTACAGGTACAAATGTGCACGTAAAATGAAAGTGCAAAAAATATCTGCCTGTTTGCTGAATCTCATCCAGTTACAGCCATTTTTAATGAGTACAAAGGAACACACAGAAAGTCCATGGTTTCAGATGAGCAAAAATTTGGTTTAACAAATGTGCCTTTTGGGTTTCCAGATAGAATGAAGGAATAAAACATGACTGTGTAGTCTTTTACACTGCAACATGCAAATATGTTGATTAAATGTAGGCGCTAATGCCAAAATTGGTTTAATCAAAACTCAG